CTTGATATCTCCAAGCCTAAAAATTTTTTCTTCCAATATTTCAACGAAATGGAAAAATATATTACATATTAAAAAAATTTATATATTTTATATTCTTCTATGAAGATATTGCTAAAAAAAATAAGCATACAGTTCTGAAGCTAATGAATTTTATTTTCGTTCCTATTTTGATTTTCTTAAATATTTCTCTCTTTGTTTTCGAAATATAAATAAATGTACATTAGATACTTTTCAATTGATCCTCGTGCATTTATATCTTTTTTTTTATACTTTTACAGAAGTTAATCAAATTATGTGTTTTTCATAAATTATTAAATTAATTAGTATGCATAACATGTTGCTTACTAAATTAAATGAATTGTTAATTCCATTGACAATTTATTTTTTCAATACATTTTTTTTATCAATTTTAATAAATATCTTTTCAATAAAAATAGTAATAGTAATAAAAATATGTATATAATTGTTTCAAAACAATTGTTTATAATATACTTTAAGAATATGTACAAAAATTTTGAATTTTGCTATATATATATATATTTTTATAAATTCAAATTTTCTAATAATATAATATAATAATCATTAAAAAATGATTTATTAAAATTTATGTAATTTGCAGTATAATAAAAAAACAAGACATGATCAATATCTAGATATATTGAAATCGAAAAATTGGAGGAAGAAGACGAATTTTGATCTTCTTTCTATGGATGATACAATACTCTAATAAAACATAAAACATTTTATTTCTCATTTATACTTCCATTTAATTTTGCTATACGTTTCGTAAGTAATTTAATTATACTATTTGATTTTATTAATTCTTATAACTGTAATATTTATATTAGAAAATTACAGACTTTACCATTCTTTTTTATTTACTTTACTTTAATTTTATATTGTTCATAGGCTGACATAATCGATCCAGAAATGCATAGAAAAGCAGAAAGGATTTTGATAAAAATAAGTCGTTTTTCCCATCATTTTTACAAAATGATTTTTTGGATTATTACAAGAAATCGAAGGAAAAAGTGGAATTGACATACAAGAAGGAAAATGTTCATGGCCCATTGTGATTGCATTGCTATAGAGCTATAGCCGAATAAAAGAAAATTTTAAAAGTAAACTTGTCGTGATTAATATTTCAAATTTATTATATTCTATTAAATGGAATAAATTATTAATAATTTATTAAAATTAATATCATTTACGAACGTTATAGAGTAGCTGATAAAGAGAAAGTAAAACGTATGACACAAATTTATAAAGAGATTGGTATTGGTTATAAAGGAGAAAGTGGAACTGATATACAAGAAGAAAAATGTTCATGACTCATTATGATTGCAGTGCTATAGAGCTATAGCCGAACAAAAGAGAATTTTAAAAGTAAACTTGTCATGATTAATATTTCAAATTTATTATATTCTATTAATGGAATAAATTATTAATAATATTAATATCATTTAGAAATGTTATGGATATATGGATAGAGCTGATGAAGAAAAAGTAAAACGTATAGCACAAATTTATGAAGAGATTGATATATCCAATATCTGTTTGGATTACGAAGAAGAAACGCGTAATTTATTGAATATATATATCAATTATCTTCGAAATTTCCAATTGAATATTTTTTATACTTACTCGCTGCATCATATAGTAAAATCGGACGGAAAGATTAATTGCACAAGATATTAGAAAAATGTGGGAACACATCCGATTGTCCAGAAATTGTTAAATTGATAATATCAAATGATATTTTTCTTTACAAAAATTTTCTCGATGTTATTTTTATATTAACAAATTATTAACGAAAAATATTATCTTATCACTCAATACATAGTCTAGGCGCGAAATAGTATAGTACGTACCGCCGATTGAACAATTATAAATAAATTGAACGTGTCAAACAAATTATGTTACATATAATAAAAAATTTTATTAATAAAAAATATATATTTTGAATAAAAAGAAATAAATAATTATATTACATAAACTATATTATATATAAAATTATAACTATATATTATATAACTATATAACTATTTCAAATTTATTATATTCTATTAATGGAATAAATTATTAATAATATTAATATCATTTAGAAATGTTATGGATATATGGATAGAGCTGATGAAGAAAAAGTAAAACGTATAGCACAAATTTATGAAGAGATTGATATATCCAATATCTGTTTGGATTACGAAGAAGAAACGCGTAATTTATTGAATATATATATCAATTATCTTCGAAATTTCCAATTGAATATTTTTTATACTTACTCGCTGCATCATATAGTAAAATCGGACGGAAAGATTAATTGCACAAGATATTAGAAAAATGTGGGAACACATCCGATTGTCCAGAAATTGTTAAATTGATAATATCAAATGATATTTTTCTTTACAAAAATTTTCTCGATGTTATTTTTATATTAACAAATTATTAACGAAAAATATTATCTTATCACTCAATACATAGTCTAGGCGCGAAATAGTATAGTACGTACCGCCGATTGAACAATTATAAATAAATTGAACGTGTCAAACAAATTATGTTACATATAATAAAAAATTTTATTAATAAAAAATATATATTTTGAATAAAAAGAATAAATAATTATATTACATAAACTATATTATATATAAAATTATAACTATATATTATATAACTATATAACTATATATATATATATATATTATAACTATATTATATATAAATTATAAAAGAATTAACCAAATAAATAGATAAAATCAGAAAATTTTTGAAATCCTTTCTCCTTTCCTATCTTTTTTTAATATTGATAGTATTCTAATAGACAACCTTATTATTAAAGTTATTCTTAACAGATTTGCTTGCATAACATTAAATTGATTATAGATAAAACATCATCGAAAAATAATACAATATATCGCCACAAAGACAATATATCGTCGAATCAATCGTATTTCACTGCATGGTTACCAATAACTGTAATCATTTATAATAGCAATCAATTGTTTCGCTTCGAGTAACCTACCCGTTTTAATTTAAATAAATAAAAAAGTGCTTTTTGTTAATATAAACTCGTCAATTAAAATTTTAAAGAAAATTATTGTTCGAAATTATCTTAGGAATATGTTAATCGTCGTTTTTACATTTTTCAGATACGTTATGTAATTAAAAATGGTAAATTAAATTATTATAATAAAATCGATACAATATTCTAGTAAAACATAAAACATTTTATATCTTCTTTATACTTTCATCTAAACAATTTAAACGATTAAGATATCTTCGAAAATATAGTGGTTCAAAGTTGTCCGAATTTTTAAGACAAAATTAAAAATTGATCTTTCGTTTGAACGATAACTTTAAAACCTGTAGACGAATCGTGCCTAATGAAATTTAGTCTTGCTATGCATTTCGTAAGTATATTTAATTGCATTATTTGATTTTAGTAATTAATACAACTTTCATATTTATATTACAAAAATATAGATTATTCCATTCTTTTTTACTTACTTTAATTCATTAATTAATTATATATTATTCATATATTGGCATAATCGATCCAGAAATGTATAAGGAAGTAAAAAAAAAATTTACATAAAAATAAGACGAAGACAATAAACATATATATATTTTATAAATAACAGAAGAACAACAGCTCAATATTGTTCGCTCTCGCAGTAATATATTGAATTTTTAAATATACATATCTAATGCTGTTGCAACTAGGTGTGAAGAAACTAGTTTTCCTGATTATTAATGTAGTTCTTCTAAATATAAAGTAAACCGGTTATGTGCATAAATTAAAGCAGGATCTCTCATAATGTCACAACAGATAACCGTATCTGATAATCAAAGAACAATGATTTTACAAAAAACAATCCATTGTCGTATCCGATGGTCAGACTACGACGTGTTCACAATGAGCTTCTATTTCTAAGTGAAACTCCCTTAAAAAATTTCTTCCTAGTTGAATTGGGAGAATTACGATAGAGCACAATAATAATCAATAATAATGTGATCAGTACCTGATTCAAGTTAGAGGAAAATTCCTCAAATTAAAATGATAATTAGTGCATCAAAATATTGATAATTAGGATCATTGATCAGGTTATATTCATTATAAATTATAAATTTTCTCGAACTAGAATCACGTTGAATCAACCGTGAAATGTCATCTTTGAGATCTTGAGATTCCACTCCAACCAGATCAAAAATAAACAATTTTAAGTGTGGATTAAATTTTTCTCGGTAATGATAGTCTTTTCAGATAACATCATCTTCTATTTAGACTTAATAGAAGTCAACAACCAGTATAATAATAATAAAAAATGTTTTCTAAGCCAGAAACTAGGTTTTCGAATAAACTATCAAAAATATCAAGAACCAATAAATGCTAAATGCTCGCGAATATTAACATAAGACTTTAATGGTATTTAAATATTAATAAGCCATTTTAATATGGATAGTAATATATTTGAATAGACGTTTTAAATTTTTTATTTTTATTTTTATTGTTTTTTTGTATTAAATAAAACAAATATATGTGGATAAAAATATTTATATATTTTAAATTAATATATCTCTTTTTTTCTATAGTAAGAATTTTTTACAATTAATCTTTTTTTCAACACGTAAGATAGAAACTTTTTACGATGTTTTAACTTTCACAATATAATGAAATATATATATCAGTTATATAAATTTTTAAAAATTGTATTATCTATCATTAAAAAAGATATTGATTTTTTATGAATAAAATATAATATAAAATAGATTCTATAATTTTGTGCTCGTGAAACGCTCTTTCTGATTTATTTTGAAATTAATTTTGAAATCAAATACATTTTTCAAAGAAAAAATAGTAATAAAATGAGGAAAAATTCATGTGAATATAATTATTTATATTATTCAATATTTGATATCTCTCCTTCGTATCACGTGTTTCGCGCTCAATGGCACTTTGGTTATATATTAAAATCGATTGAGTAGAGAAACATTAAAACACTTGAAATATCTAAGAAAATATGTTATAGTTTACTCATTAATATAATATTTTAATATAAATTTTTACAAATTATTTTTACAAATTCGATATAATTTTTTACAAATATGTTTTATACTTTATCAAGATATATTACTTTACCATTGTGTGAACGAAATACACAAAAAATCTTTAATTCTATAAATATTAGAAAAAATTCATTACGGTGGAATTGCCAAGAATCAAGAATAGGACATTCTTGTTATAAAATAAATACACTTTTAAAATATCATACGTAAGTATAAAATAAAAAATATTTTTATTATAATTTTCTTCATTATATATGTAAATGGAAGGAAAATATTCAATTTGATCTCTAAAAAAAAAATACATTTAAATATATATATCTTATCATGTAATTGACTTCATTTAACTCTAAAGTCAATGTATTAAGCAATAAATAAATTTATAACCGTATTTATTTTATCATAATTATGATATCCTATTACATTGATTATTGTATACAGTTATTTACGTAATTGAATATAAAATATTGTTTCGAAAATTTGAGAATATCAATTCTCTATTAATACTCACTAAGTAATTTTTCACAATATTTTTTTTTGCAAATAAACAAATCCAAATAATATATATCAAACAAAGTGTTGATAACGATTGAGTACATATATATTTCAGTACATAAAAAATATATGGAATTAAGAAACAATATACTCATTATCAATTACTTATATAATATTTATTCGTTTATTATTCAATATCAAATTGAAATATAAAAAGAAAAATATAAAACGTTTTTAATGAATGAATGATAAATAATAAGTAATGAACTATATTACTCATCGTTTTAGTACGATACGCGTGATTATTCATATAATTATGATATTATTTATATTATTATTATCTATATCATTATTTATAAATTATAGGTATATCTCTCACAATGATTGTATAACTTGATAAACGCTAATGTTTGTAAAAAAACTTGCGAAAGTATTTTTTTGAAATAGGAAAGTCACTATTAAATTTTACGAGCACATATTATTCGCAAACACTTCGAATTTTAACTTTGAAAAGCTTGATTAAAATTCTAATTTTTTATTCTATTAACGATTATCTTAGTTTAATTTTATAACTAACATAACCTTACGTTTGACGAGATTTATAGTGAATCAGCCCTTCTGTATTGTTTACCATTTTACCATTTTAGAACACGCAGACATCTTCAATGTAATTGATTACGATGTTCATGGACTTTCTAAATTCATCATGAATTTTCTATGGACTTAACTTTAACTTTTTGAATTTCAATTTCTTCGATCTATATAAATAATATTTAATTAGTTTATTCGCTGAAGGCTATAATTAATTATACTACGCGTTCTGTGATAGATTAATTTTTTTTTATTAATAATTCATTTACAAAGCTACAAAAATTTTTTAAAGGAAAATGTTCCTTGAAATTACTTTTGAAATCTTTAATTAACGAATATTTCTATATTTTTTATATATTCTATAGAGAAATTAATAAAATCATGATTGTTGTCAATTAACAATCAAAAAATTTCGTTCTAATGAAATTATATTAAAGTATATTAACAATCAATTAAAAAAATAGTTACATATCAAATATGAAATTCGCCTTTAAATTGTAAATTATTGTGAAAGTTATGTCATAACATGACATGACTTAAACATATAATAATTATTAATTCAATTTTTTTTCTGTAGTTGGATTATTTAAAAAATAAAAAATATATAATATATAAAAATATATAAGAACAATAACAACATTAAACAATGCATAATATAAGATATCAAAACAAAATCATTATTAAATTAATAAAATTACATGAAATATTTTAGCAATTTTTGATTAGAAATATAAATCGAAATAAGATATTCAAAATACATTAGAACAAGTAATGCTTCTGTATTTCGAAAATCTTATTCATAATAATAACCATTTCATTTGACAATAAAATTATTATCGTATGAACAGCAAATAAACAATTAACTATTGATTGTTTTAATTACAGAAATGATTTAAAAATAAGTATATTATTAAAATTCTTTTGTTTTAGATCAAACAATATACAATTTGTTGATTCGTTCAAAGATGAAAGAAACGAATTAATGGCTATGTGGCCCGATATTGTTCGTGAATTGACGGAAGAAAATAATGAAGAATTATTAGATGTTAATAAACGGATAACAAAGGTATTTCTTTTTTAAATTATATATTATCAAGTAATATAATTTCGAATCATGTATCATAATATCTTATGTATAAAATATATTAATACAAGATTCAAATTTTATTGAAAACTTAAATCTAATGGAACATAAGCACTTCCTTTCTGCATAAATTATAGATTATTGCTTTAAAAATTATCATGAAAAATAATATATATTATGCAATTCAAATTTACATTTGCATAAATAAATTATGTTAACGTGATGATATTTTATAAATTTGCAACGATTTTTCTTTTTACAACGCTTATTGTTTTTAACTTTTTAATTTCATTTTGGAATATCAAAAATATATAAAAAATTGCATTATTTATTTCTATAGAACATTAAATAAAACTTAATTCTTACTGGTAAAGAAATTAAAGGAAACATATCATTATCGATAGATATTAAAATTAAAACCGGTTTTTATAACTAATATGTATAATCGAAAAGAATCTGAATATATAAAGATATTATGCTACATTATACTAATTCATATATTAACATTCCATTAATCTTAATAATTGATTTATCTACAGCTGCATATACGGATATTGTGTTGACTATGAATGAATATTTCGTGAATTCATATTTTCATCCATCGTGAATATTTATCCATGAATATGATGATTATGAACAAAAATCAAAGCAGATTTACATAAGAGCAAAATAACTCAAATTTCAATAACAATCTCAATAGTTTGAATTTAAATTTTCATTTTTATTAACAGCAATTACTATTAACAGCAATTAATATAAATGAACAGGTTTACATTATTTTCCCACATTATTTTAAACTCAGAATAACAATTAATCAACAAATTTACTCTAAGACTCAATAGCAATGGCCAAATGAATCAAATTAACCAAATGTTTTGCAACCGATATTATTCATGAAGGAATATGTAAAAGCTCATCTAAAATTGGAAATCGTCTATCAACTATTGGTTCTCTTTCATTTTCTCTTAATTATATTTTCGTCGAAAATTATTACTGGACGAAGAATCAATATGCGCCACAATTTCTTCAGATAATCAGAGTTTATAAAGACTCTATCGTTCATTTGCCGACGAAAATCAATCACATCACAGTTAGTTGTCAGTAATCAGTTAGTTAGTAATCAGAATACAGAATTCAATTAAGTATCATTGAAAAATCGTAAATTTATTCATCCATAAATTCTCACTGAGTCATAGAAAAACAGTTAGATTCAATCGTTAAGTTCACACAAAATTTACAATATAAACAGTTATATAATTATAACTAATTCTATCACCATGTCGTAAGGCACAAATGCTTAATATTAATCTAATTATTGATTATGAATGCCTTTTCTATTCTAATTCGTAAAACTTATCGCTAATTACTCTTCTTTATAATTATCTTTATATATTATAAGAAAAACTGGAAAATATTGATAGGAAGATTTCCATAGAGATTTTCTATGAATATATAACAATAAAAAAAAACCAACACTTCGGTATAAATTGCTCTGTATAAATCACACTGTACAATTACAATTGCAAATTTATTAATCTAAAACTATTTTCTATAAAAATAATTTTCATGAAAATTGAAATTTTTATTTTATTGATATAAGAATTTCATAATATTGTGTTATGATTAATATCATTCATTACGTGAAAATGTACTCGATGTTACGTATATATTTCATTTTTAGCTGCTTTCAGACTTTAAGATTATATATTATAGTTAGAGTTATTATTTTGAAGTTGTGTGTTTCGAGAAATGATATGAAAATATGAGACATACAGTGAAAAGAGATTTGATATATGTATGATAAATATTTTAAATTTAGCTTTCTAAAATAATTGAATCTATTGTATATTATGAACCTATTATATATGAGCCTGTCGTTAGCCATTATATTCTCTTTTCTCTATATTTGTATTCGTAAACTATATTCACTATATTTTAATATCGAAACGATATTTCAACTTTTAGATATTGGAATATAATGTTCCGACAGGAGGAAAACGAAGATCAGTATCACTTGTAATCGCATATAAATTGCTGGCATCTCAAGATCAGTTAACGGTAGAAAATATTCGTTTAGCTCGTATCCTAGCCTGGTGTATAGAAATAGTAATTTTTTATTTTATTTCTTTTTTTATTTTACATTATTTTAAAATTTATCAATTAACTAACATATTTATATATTCACAAATAATAAAAAAATTGATCTCATATAAATATTTATATTTTAAATTTGTATTATTTCTTTATAGCTTTAAAATGTTTATATATATGAATATTATTATAGATGCAAGCATTTCACACAATGATAGATGATATTATAGATCGTGCAAGCATGCGACGAAATCAATCAACCTGGCATGTAAAAGTTGGATTAGGTGCAATTAATGACGCTTTAATTTTAGAAATATGTATACACGAGCTTATTAAGAATCATTTTAAGTCAAAAAATTGTTATACAGATATCATAGATATATTTTTGAAGGAGCTAAGCATCAAATTTTTTTATTCATATAAATAATGCTCAAAAAAGTAATTATTGTATTCATATATTAATTTTTTAATTATTATAATAAAATTACTTTACATTTTATTTACAATTAATTTATAATTTACAATTTTTTATTGTATAGTCTCAATTTTGAAAGAAAATAATAATAATAGTAATAAAATTTTCTATCTATAAAAATTGAAAATTTAAAAAAAAATTGTTATCGTATATAAATAATTTTATCATATACAAAATGGGTCTAAAAAGTAATGCATATCTAATTTCGAAATAAAAAAACATTATACATTATCGAAATGTAATTATTTTCTTTAGATAATAAGAAAAGTAAATGTAATAAGTAAAAAAGATATAGTTTCGTTTACATTAATCATTCATGAATACTTAATATTTTACAATAGATCGTTATTTGCATAATTCAAGACTATATTTCCAATTTCTTTCCTATTTCAAGAATATCGATCTCAAGGATATCGATTTTATTGATGTGACGGATAATGAAATAAACAAAATGATGCAATTTTAGATTTAAAACCGATAGTAATAATATTTTAGTAATGGAATGAAAAAAATATTATACTTTGAGTATATTTTTATTCTTATAAGAGAATTATTCTTTTATTATTATTCTTTTATTCTTATATTTCTTATAAGAGAATATATTGAGAAATATAATTAGTATTGAAAAATACAATTTTGAAGCCAATAAATTCAGTTTCTTTTTCTATTGTGATTTTTTTAAATGTTTTCCTTTTTTGTTTTCGATGTTTAAATATATGTACATTATTAAATATATGTACATATGATACTTTTCAGCTTATCCTTGTACATTTATATTTTTTTTATACTTTTATAGAAATAAATAAATAAAATAATATATATATATATATATAAATTAATTAATTGTGAATAAAATTTCTTCCATAAAATATTTTGAATCGATTAGTATACACAACATATGGTTTGTTAAATTAAAAACATAAG